GCTGGTTGATTTGGCCATTTGGGGGTTGAACCAGCATATCAATAATCTTTCTGTCTACTCTCTGTAAACCGGCCTTCCAAATAAACAAAAATAGATTATTTAAAGGAAATATGGTGCAGGGCAGAGTTATAAGTTTCTGTAGAAAGTCCACTCAGATGGGGGCCCAGCGCGGTGGCGCAGTGGTTAAGGTCCTTGCCTTGCACGTACTGGGATCCCATATGGGTACCGGTTCTAATCCTGGCAGCCCCGCTTCCCTTCCAGCTCCCTGCCTCTGGCCTGGGAAAGCAGTCGAGGACGGGCCTGGGAAAGCAGTCGAGGACGGGCCTGGGAAAGCAGTTGAGGACGGCCCAAAGCTTTGGGACCCTGCACCCGCGTGGGAGACCCGGAAGAGGCTCCTGGCTTCGGACCAGCATGGCATCTGCTGTTGCTCTCACTTGGGGAGTGAATCATCGGACGGAAGATCTTCCTCTCTGTCTCTCCTCTCTGTATATCTGCCTTTCCAATAAAAAATAAAAATAAATCTTAAAAAAAAAAGTCCACTCAGTTGTCAATTTTTACAAGCCTAAGTTCGAATATTTCAAAAATATAAAGCACTACAGTTATCTGTATTCCAACTGCTCACAAAGTATAGAAAATTCACAAAACATGTGAGAGATTATGTGAGATGCCGAATTACAGAGAAAGGAACGCTAACAGAATGAGATGAGTTTTCAGACATTTGAGCGTTTAAAAAACTAAATGATTCTTACCAACTAAATTCTACTCAGAAAAATTTCAAAATATATTGGATGTTTACTGCATACAAGGTATTCTAACATTTCTGTATGAAAGGACACTGAACCACAGCGAGCTGAATTAACTGGCCCAAATCATAAAGGTGGTCCGGGTGAGCCTGGCGTTCAGCACAGATCTTGCGAGGGCTGAGACCAGTGTGCCGCCCCACACCTCCCAGCTGTGGACACGTGCTACGCACTCAAACTCAACAAAAACTTCCGTGCAAGTTTTACGAAACCAATGAGTCCACTAGACAACTACTGAAATGTGTGACGAGCAGGGTGCCCCACAGACAGTGTCGTCACCCCAGATTCCAACCAAAAGCAGAGCTGCTTCTGCGTCAAGGACCAGTGGAAGTGGTCTACCATGGAGGAGATGGGGGTGGAGGCAAGGAAGGTCTCCATAGTTGAAGCCGTAAAACTTCGAAACCTACATCCTAACAAAAGGCAAGATGCTTTCAACTATTAAAACTGAGGCCAGGCAAGGTACTTGTCTCGCAGTGTACTGTTAACACACAAGGAACTTGGAGTACTACACTTGATCTTAGCCAAAAGGCTACTTAACAGTGTGCAGCAGAAGTTACTGACTCTCAACAGCCAAATTTCAACACAAATGAAATTCTTGGGATGAAGTTTGTAGAAAAACCAAGACCATCTGTAATCCACCCTTTAACAATTTATCAATTTATAATATTTAAACATACTTTGATAATGAAGAATTCCTATCTATAGATTCCAATTATTTCTTCAGCTAAAAATCACTTATAAAATTCCAATTCTCTAGCTCAGCAACCTCAAAAGGACTATATTGTATATAGATTCACAAGCAAAAAACTATCATTAGGGCCAGCACATAACCTACTGGCTAAATTCTCGCCTTGCACGCACTGAGATCCCATATGGTGCTAGTGTGTGTCCTGGCTACTCCACTTCCCTGCTTGTAGCGTGGGAAAGCAGTAGAGGAAAGCCTAAGGCTTTGGGGCCCTGCACCCTCACGGCAGACCCAAAGAATCCCCTGGCTCCTGGCTTCGGATCAACTTAAGCCCAGCTGTTGCAGTAACTTGGAGAGTGAGCAAGCAGACAGATCTTTGTCTCTCCTTCTCTGTAAAGCTTTCAAAAAAAAAAAAAATCACTAATATATTTTCTGTAAGTAGAAAGTTCTATTGCAACCTCACTTTCTTATTCTAAATATAAAGCAATTATGGGGCCTGCATCAAGGCGTAACAAGTTAAGCATCAGCCTGCAGTGCTCACATCCCATAAAGTGCCACGCTGAGCCCAAGACACTCCACTTCTGATCCAGTTCCCTGCTAATCAGCCTCGAAAAGCAAAGAAATTGGGTCCCTGCACCCACATGGGAGACCCAGAAGAAGCGCCAGGCTCTTGGCATCAGACCAGCCAAGCTACAGTTCAGTGGTTGTAGCCATTTTGAGACTGAATCAAGGGATGAAAGCTCTGTGTCTCTCTCTCTCTGTAACCCTACCTTTCAAATACAAATGAACAAATCATAAAAATAAATATTTTTAAAATATTTGAGCGGGGAGGAACCTGGTGTTGTGGGGCAGATTAAGACACTACTTGAGATGCTGATATCCTATTCAGGAGCACGGGTTGAATCCCAGCTGCTCCACTTCTGATCCAGCTCCCTGCTAATGCCCCTGAAGAGCAGCTGAAGCACTGGGGCCTCTGCCGCCCAGGTGCGAGACGCCAATGGCGTTTCAAGCTCCCACCCTCAGCCGGGCTCAGCCCCAGAGCCAAGAGAAGAGTCAGCCAGTGGGTGAAAGATCTCTGACATTCAGCCTTTCAAAGAAAATCTTTTTTCAACAAACTAACATAAATGTTAAAGGGACTTTCCATTACTTCACAAAGCTGTGAATCAGCACCTAACATGGCTGGTAAAAATATCATTTAAAGCTTAAAAGAAGAGCCCAGTGTGGTGGCCTAGCAGCTAAGTTTTAGCTTTGCACGCATTGGGCTCCAATATGGGCACCGATTCTAATCCCAGCTGCTCCACTTCCAGTTCAGCTTCCTACTTATGGCCCAGAGAGGCAGTCAAAGGACGGCCCAAAGCCTTGGGACCCTGCACCCATGCAGGACACCCGGAAGAAGCTCCAGGCTCCTGGCTTCTTCCGGTGCAGCTCCAACCATAGCAGCCACTTGGGAAGTGAATCCGCAGACTGAAGATGTTTCTCTCTGCCTTTCCTCCTCTAGCATATCTGTCTTTCCAAACTAAATAAATAAATAAATAAATAAATAAATAAATAAGGTGGGCAGTCATTGCGAACCTGCAGGTTAAGTCACCACCTGAGACACCCAGCTCCCACAGTGGAGTGAGCATTCCCTCCCAGCTATTCTGTTTCTAATCCAAGAGAGGCTGCAGAAGATGGCTCAAGGCCTTGGATCCCTGCCACGCTTACTGGAGACCCAGGCTGTTTCAGGCTCCCAGCTTTGGTCTCATACAGTCCTGGCCCTGGCCAGCACTTGACGAATGAAACAGCAAATACAAGATGTGTCTCGGACCCGGCACGATAGCATAGTGGCTAAAGTCCTTGCCTTTAACGCACCGGGATCCCATATAGGTGCCGGTTCTAATCCCAGCAGCTCCACTTCCCATCCAGCTCCTTGCCCGTGACCTGGGAAAGCAGTGGAGGATGACCCAAAGCCTTAGGACCCTGCACCTGCATGGGAGACCTGGAAGAGCTCCTGGCTTCGGATCGGCACAGCACCCGCTGTTGCGCTCACTTGGGGAGTGAACCATTGGACGGAAGATCTTCCTTTCTGTCTCTCCTCCTCTCTGTATATCTGCCTTTCCAATAAACATAAATAAATCGTTAAAAAAAAATTTGTCTCTCTCTAGCCGTGCCCCTCTAGATGAAAAAAATCAGCTTTTTAAGGCCCGAAGAGTAACTGTGTTCACAAGATCTGCTGCTTTACTATTTTTCACCTACCAAAGAATGCAAGTTAAGCCATTAACTTCAGATAATTTCATTTTCCCTGAGGCATGTCTGCAACTTTCTAACAAAATCATTTCCACCCCTCCTCCATCACCACCGAAATCCTATAATTCTCCCATCAGTTTCAAGAAAGAGGTTGAATACTGGCCATAAAAGGAAACCAATCATATACAATAGTGTAATCTGTTGAGCAGAAAAACCCGTTAAAAGGTGCAAAAGTACAGACAGGTGTCAAATGAAATTAAGATAAGAGAAAAATGCCAAGCGGTGAGCAATTAACATAGCTGCTTTTAAGTCACTAAAAAGTGTTGTTTGAATTCAAACAGATCTAACATTGCACCGAGTTCACAGGGAAAAAAAGCGGCAAACTCCAGGCTTGAAAGCTCCCAAGAGATGCTGCTTTCGCAAAGACTTTGGTCACTATCAGCCCTGAGAAACTTCTCTCAAGCACACCCTCCTGGACTTTCTACGGGCTAAACTTTCCTGAATGGGATTTGGACCGAAACAGTTCCGGAATCCCCTCCCTCTCCTTAAGCGCCGCGACTGCCTCCTGACCCCGGAAGGCAGGCAACTCCACCACCAGGCTTACAGTCAAGACCCACACTGGTTTTACTTTTAAAACCTGGAACGCTTTCTGCAGGACACTAAAGACTCGTCTGCCAGAAAGCAACTTGGAGATAGGATGCACGGGCCGGGAGGGGCGGGGGTTATCAGAAGGGATACTTCGGCGGAGCAGGAGCCGGACAACTACTACTCCGAAGGAGCAGGGCCCTGCCTGTCAAAGCTGCGCCCTTTATTTCCCCGCAGCAAACGCCAAGTTCAAGCCCCCCGGAACGTGCAGGCCAGACCTCTGCAGTTTTTACACTTTTCACGTGAGCTTCCCTAAGACCCCTTCAACCTACCGAAGCCACACTGCAAATTTATAAACAAACAAACAAGGCCCAGTCACCTCGTCCCACTCCGGCGGCGAATCCCTCTTCCCAACCCCACACCCCAGCCCGTGGCCGGCCTTAACCCACGTCTCCCCACCGCCAGGTCTCAACCATGGCCCTGGTACCCCAAATCCCCTGCCACGACCTCCGGTCTCCGGCCCCGCCCGGAAGGCTGCAACCGGTTCCAACGAACCCTCCCCCAAGACGGTCCTCCGGGCTCCTACAACTTGTCCCCGGGCGCCCCCTCCAAGCCCCCGGAGCACGCAACGGCCGAGCCCGAAAATGGCGGAAACTGCCGCCGTGTGCTGCAGGCCAGCGAACCCGAGCCGCCGCCAGACTCACCGTGGGGCGCCGAGCCGAGCTCCGCCCGGCGAGCGAAGCGTCGGTCTTCACTCTGCGAAACGTCTCCGCCGGACGGCCTCCTTCCTCCGCCCCTCTCAAGCCCTCTCCTCCAAAGGAACAGCCGCCATCTTCCCCGCGGAGCCACCGAGCGCACGCCCTTGCGTCACCACGCACCGGCGTACGTCCTCCCTCCCGCGCGCCCGGGCCGGCGGGCTGCCTCCCGAGGTGCGGTGTGCGCATGTGCGGAGGTGAGGGGCCGGCCTCGCCGGGCGGTGCGCGGCGCCCTGGCCGGCGTTTCCCTTTGTTCCGGCGCCCGGGATGCAGGGCGGACCGGGCGGGCGTGCTCGGCGGCCCGGCCCCTTTTCTCCGGTGGTGAGAGCTCCAGAACTGGACTAAGGGTGTTTGTTGGGGGGGACGCGCGTGCGCTATTTGGCCAAGCCTACCACCCACTTTCTTGGGCCTGTGGATTAATCCGTGAATTCAATGAGCGCAGAAGGCATAAGAACTCCGTCATCCAGGCGCCTCCCTGGACTAGGCTGGTGCACGTTTTGACTTGATGCCGGAGTTCAATCCCCATTTCCTGCTCCTGTTAACCCTGGCTTCCTCCCACCCGCCTGGGAGACATGGATTGAGTGCCCAAACCTAGCCCTTATAGCCCTGGCCATGAAACAGATAAGAGGTCTCTGTCTTAAATAAATGGGAAAAATAAATAGATTTATAGAGACAAGAAGAGACAGAAAGATCTAAAATCTGCTAGCTCACTCCCCAAATAGCCACAACGGTCGATCTGAAGCCAGGAGCTTCTTCTGGGTCTCCTACGCAGATGCAGGGTGCCAAGGCTTTGGGCCATCCTCTACTGCTTTCCCAGGCCACAAGCAGGGAGCTGGATGGGAAGTGGAGCAGCCGGGACATGAACTGGTGCCCATATGGGTTGCTGGCACTTGCAGACAGAGAATTAGCCAATTGAGCCATTCCCTAATAAAAAAGCAAGGCCCTAAATTAAAACAAAAATTTTTCACAAACCAAGTAATTAAGGAAATTGAAGAAGATGGAAGAGGAATCCATCACCTCTGGGCTCTTTGCTGTTAGTATCCTGTGTGTCTTTCCAAAGTGTGTAAAAGTGAAAATTGTGTATGCATGTGCTTTCCCCCCTACTTAAATAGGATCTTTTGCACACTATCTCCTCTCTTGGTCACTTTTCCGTTAATTTAGGACAGCTGTTGGAGAAGTTTGTGGAGGGGCTGGCCTTGAGGTGCCAAAGCTGAGTCGGCTGCTTGTAACCTGCGCATCCCAGCACGAGCTGCAGCCCAGGGCCCAGCTGTGCCTCCTTCCATCCAGCTCGCTGCTAATGTGTCTGAGCAGGTGAAACAATAGGCCTGATGAGGGGTTCCATGGTGAACTCAGCTCACCCCCAGACACAGGCATGAGACTAACCCAGCTGGGAAAACTGCATCCTGCTTGTCAAGAACAGTGAAACCCCTGGCATACCTAGAAGAAAAATGAATTTCACCTGGTGCAACAAAGGTTTGCGAAGTTACTGAGTAGTAATTTTTCATCCCTAAGATAGAGCTGCATTAGCTCAGATTAGCTCAGGCCCCTGGACCCCAATCTCACTGTGGTTTTTCACCTTTATAAAACTTGCTGTTTTGCGGTTTGCGATCAACAGGTTTTTGCGGGCATGAGCCCCACCTTCACCAGCAATAAAAACCTGTAAAGTCTTAATTGGTGCCCATAAATTAGGCCTGGCGCAATGGTCTAGTGGCTAAAATCCTTGAATTGCATGTGCCAGGATCCCATATGGGTGCTGGTTCATGTCCTGGCCATTCCACTTCCTATGTAGCTCCCTGCTTGTGGCCTGGGAGGGCGGTAAAGGATGGCCTAAAGCCTTGGATCATGTACCCATGCATGTAACCATGCAGGAGACCCTGAAGAAGCTCCTGGCTTTGGATCAGCACAGCTGTGGCCGTTGCAGCCACTTTCTGAGTAAACACCAGATGGATTTTTTTCTCTGTCTTCTCTGTAGATTCAACTCTCCAATAAAAATAATAAATAAATCTTATTTTAAAGAATTATTTTTATTGCAATGTCAGATAGACAGAGAGGAGTCAGAGACAGAGGAAGGTCTTCCATCTGCTGGTCACTCCCCAAGTGACCGCAGTGGCCGGAGCTAAGCCGATCCAAATCAGCAGCCCGGAGCCTCTTCAGGGTCTCCCACGCAGGTGCAGGGTGCCAAGGCTCTGGGCCGTCCTCGACTGCTTTCCCAGGCCACAAGCAGGGAGCTGGATAGGAAGCAGGGCCACTGGGATTAGAACCGGTACACATATAGGATCTTGGTGTGTGCAAGGGGAGGACTTTAGCTGCTAGGCTACCATGCCAGGCCCACTTTTCTTTTTGAGAGACAAATTTACAGAGATTTACAGGCAGATTTACCTGTAGCTGCAACAGCTGAGGCTGAGCCAGACCAAAGCCAGGAGCCAGGAGCTTCTTCAAGTCTCTAGCTTTCCTTTACTGGGTTCTCTGTGCCTAATTATGGAGCTGGATGAGAAGTAGAGCATCAAAGACTCAAAGCAAAGCCCATATGGGATGCTGGTGCTTGCAGGCAGAGGATTAGCTTCTTTTCTGTGTCTCTGCCATGCTGCATGCCCTTGCACTTTTCTTTCTCCTGATCAAGAACTCTCTTCCCAGATTTTCCTGTAACTGGGTCCTAATTTTGTTGCTGTTATCATTAATTTATGGCAGAAGAACTCCTGTCTGTGGGTTCAGGCCCCAAATGCCTGTCAGAGAAACTAGGATTCCTTTTTTTTTTTTTTAGATTTATTTTATTTTTATTACAAAGTCAGATATACAGAGAGGAGGAGAGACAGAGACGAAGATTTTCCATCCGATGATTCACTCCCCAAGTGAGCACAACAGCTGGTGCTGCGGCGATCCGAAGCCAGGATCCAGGAACTTCTTCCGGGTCTCCCATGCGGGTGCAGGGTCCCAAGGCTTTAGGTCGTCCTTGACTGCTTTCCCAGGCCACAAGCAGGGAGCTGGATGGGAAGTGGAGCTGCTGGCATTAGGCTGGCGGCCATATGGGATCCCTGCATGTTCAAGGTGAGGACCTTAGCCACTAGGCTACGGTGCTAGGCCCGAAACTAGGATTCTTCACGAATTTGCGTGTCATCCTTGCACAGGGGCCATGCTAATCTTATCTGTATCGTTCCAATTTTAGTATATGTGCTACCAAAGCGAGCACCCGAAACTAGGATTCTAATCCAGGCGTCACAGGTGGGTGGCAGCAAGCTTGAATCATCACCTACAACCTCCCACAATGTGTGTTAAGCAGGAAGCTGGAGTCCAGAGCCAGGGCCAGGATTTAAACCCAGGATCTTTGCTACTAAGCTAGACACCTGCCCCACCTTGCTCTCCTTTAGGGTACTAAAGTACATGGTACATGCTCGGTATACTATGCTTAAAGAACTAGCAGATAATCCAACGGTTGTAAGAGCACTGAAAATCATGTGAGTATAAGAAACTTAGGCTCTGTTGTTGAAAAAACAAAATCCCCAAAGGGTTACCATTCAGTGTGAAACTTAGAGCATCTGAGAGTGCGGAACCACAAACACCTGCTCCAGTAGCAGTCCCTCCTCCTTTGCTTTCGAACGCAGATAATCCTAGGAGTTCTGGGAAGGAGGGGGTATTGCCAGGAAGTAGAGTTCATCCTGCAAGGGTCTCTCTCTCTTTGTCAGCATTTCAAATCAAATGAAAGTACCTTACAGTTTTAATCAGTTCACCCTCCACTGATCTCTCAGCCCACATGCAGGGAGCTGGAGGGGAAGTGGAGCAGCCCAGACATGAAATGGCATCTATAGGATCCTGGCACCTGCACGGGGAATATGAGTCAGTTAAGTTATCACATTGGGCCCAGGTTGCCGTTTTTTAAGTGTTCAGATACTGAAATATATCCCTAAGGAGTCTCACCATGCTCCATCTCCTCAGGATTTCACTGTGATCCTACAAATGCCTGATGGCCCCAGAGGACAAATGTTGAAAATCACCTCTGGCAGAAGCAGGGTTTCACTTGGTTTGCTTTGGTTTTAAGAATTATGTATTTTAGGGTCTGGTGGCATGGCCTAGTGCTAAAGTCCTCGCCTTGAACGTGCCAGGATCCCATATGGGCGCTGGCTCTAATCCCCGCGATCCTGTTTCCCATGCAGAACATTGCTTGTGGCCTGGGAAAGCAGTCAAGGACGGCCCAAAGCTTTGGGACCCCGCAGCCATGTGGGAGACCCGGAAAGAGGCTACTGGCTCCTGGTTTCAGATCAGCACAGCACAGGCCATTGCAGTCACTGGGGAGTGAATCAGCAGACAGAAGATCTTCCTCTCTGTCTCTCCTCCTCCCTGTATATCTGACGTTTCAATAAGAATAAATGTTTTTTTAAAAAAAAAAATACATATTTTGGGACCTGGTTCAGTGCATCAGTAGCTAAATGCTCACCTTGAAAGACCCAGTATCTCATATGGGTGTCAGTTCATGTGCTGGCTCCTACTCACTTCCCATCCAGTTCTCTGCTTGTGGCCTGGGAAAGCATCAGAGGATAGTCCAAAGTTTCAGAATCCTGAACTCACATGAAGACCCAAAAGAAGTTCCTGGCTTTGGATCAGCTCAGCTCCAGCCGTTGTGCTCACTTGGGGAGTGAACCAGCCAATGGAAGATCTTACAATCTGTCTCTCCTTCTCTCTGTAAACCTGCCTCTCCAATAAAAATTAATAAAAATCTTTAAAAAGAAAACAAAAAAGGCAGATTTACAGAGGGAGAAGATCTTCCATCCAGTAATTCACTTCCCATATGACCACAATGGCCAAAGTTGAACCGATCTTAAGCCAAGAGCTTGAAACTTCTGTATCTCCCACATGGGCGCAGGGGCCCAAAAACTTGGGTCTTCATCTGATGCTCTCCCAAACACATTAACAGGGAGCTGAATCTGAGGTGGAGTATCTAGGACACAAACCAGCACACATATGGATTCCAGTCTAGCAAGATGGATAAATAACCTGTTGAGCCACTGCACTGGCCCCAGAAGCAAGGTTTTGAAAAACTCATTTTAGCCTGGACTCTGAGCAATTCATTTTGCCAATAGCTGCTGTGTGCTTTCCCAGAGGCAAACTATTCTC